TAAAAATATTTAAAAAGGAAATTCATATCATGATACGAATTATGGTTCGTGATTCGTTATAATATTTTTTTTTACAAAAAATACGCGTCAAATAAGAATAATTTTGAATCATAATTCTGAATTTATGAATCAAACGTCCAAATAATTAAACATTTTAGATAATTATATTTTAAGTTAATTTTAAATTTAGCTACTGAAAAATATGAGTTATACCACTTTGCCCTCTATAGTTTAAAATGACACAAATTGACCCACACTTATTAAAAGTTGCAATTTCGGTACTTTCATTAACGAAACATCATTTTTTAATAATTTTAAATACGTGTGGGTTTTATAACTATTTTTTTAAAGTGGGATAATCAATGAGATCATATATATAAGATTTTATTATGGTTCTGTCTTGGAAAAGATAATACCGTGGGTGTTTGGAATCGTTTTTAAAAACAGTTTTCACGTATTTTGAGAAGTAAAAAATGAAAATGAAAACGCAACGACGTTTGTTTAGTAAATATTTTAAAAACGAAAACAGTGAGAATGATTTTTGTGATAGAATTAAAAAACAGTTGAAAGTTATTTTCACTTTTCTGTTTTCATTTTTTAGCACTTATCAATAATATTATAATATATTAATTAATAAACATGATTTCACTTTTTTATTATGCTCAAAACAATCTCTTAAAAAAATAATCAAATGTAATTTCAGAATCGGTCTCAGAATGATTCTCAAAATAATCTAATTTTTATTTTTTTATTGAAAATAAAATCATTTTCAAACCAATTCCAAACGCACTTATCATTTTTTGATGGTTAATTTTTCTTTTCTTAAAAAAAGAGTAAAATTTATCTATAAATTTTAAAATTCATATTTTTTATTTAATACATGATATAAAATTTTATATAATATGATATTATACAAATAAAATATAAACGATACATATAATTAATAATATCAATTTAGGTCACTCCTCAATTCGTAACCCAACTCATTGTTAATTATGATAATTGTATCGATTTAATTATGGCATTTTATAATAACTCCAAAGGACAAACACGCTAATGTGAACCCAACACGAAATTGTTACATGGAATTAAAACATTTTAGGTTTTGTTTTCTTTCTTTCTCTTTTTTGTTAATAGATTTTTTTTTTCCTGAAGGTAAATGTATTTCACGGAAATATGATACGTTATCAACTATCAAGGCCAGAGGATGGTGAAAATCTTTGAAGAATGTGCCAATTAACTTTGGACCAATCAGGGACAAACATAATGGTCACACGTTAGAAAAAACATACTCATCATTTATTATTTGAAAGACAAAATATACTCATCATTAATTATAACCGCTACAAACAATTCATGAGATATCCTGGTTTAAGAATTCGTGTTACAATTTGAATCATGATTCGTAATTTATTATAATATTTTTTCTCATAAAAAATATACATAAATTGAGAATAATTCTGAATCATGATTTTAAATCTACCAACCAAACGTCATTAACTCATAAATTGGGAATATATGTTACGGTGATCATCATCACTAGTAATACATGACAACGCAAATAGAAGAGTAAGGGTTTATACAAAAGTTAAGATTAGAATGAATTGGGAAATTGTAATAAATAACACATTTTTAAAATTAAATTAAGTAAATAACAGATTTTAAAATTATTTAAAATAAATTACAGTTTATACGGTAAATAAATTATTTAATAAATAATTCATTTATGATCGGTAAAAGATAACTTAAGTGGTAAAAAAATCTTTATTTACACGGAAAAGTCTTTTTACTAGTTCTAAAAAGAAAAATTACTTAAAAAAATATTTTTACTAACTGTAAAAAAATTATTTACACAGTAAATGATTCATTTACCATGTAAATTGCTATTTATTTTAAATAGTTTTAGAATATGTTATTTACTTAATTTAGTTTAAAAAATTTACTATTTACTACATTCTCCTAATAGAATTTGCTAGAACAATAAGTTTCGTTATAAAGAATTGGGGTTCTAACTCAAAAGATTAATTTAGTGAATAAAGTACCCGACTCTCTTATAAATCTATCATAGCTCCCATTTATTGTCAATGTGAGACTTTGTTTGCAACTCCAACAATCGCCTCTTTGAACGAAGTACCACGACCCCCTTTGAATGATAACATATTCCGGCCATTGTATCATCCATTGCACCTTCATTATGTTACATAGAGATCCCACCACATCGTGCTCTCCATCGCATATCTCCGTGTTTCATGGTATGCACAACAATATTGAGGTCTCCACTGCGTCACTTGTTAGAACCATGAACTTCACTATAAGGAATTGAGGTTCCAACTTAAAAGTTTAACTTAATGAGTGGAGTAGCTCACTCCCTTATAAACCCATCATAACTCTCATTTATTGTCAACATAGGACTTTGTTTGCACATCCAACAGAGTTGATGTCCCAAACACTCTATTATAGGGCTTAAATCTTAGAAGTCCCAATATTTTTTCTCTTCTAAAAATAATTCATTTGAAAGTTATAAAAAGGACTTGGACTTTTGGATTCATGGACTAAAATTTTGTACAACTTTTAATATGATTATTTTTAAAAATGAAAGATAGTATTACGGTTTTAATCTGGTATTTTAAATTTAAAAAATATCCTATTCATTTTAAATTATTTTGACAGAATCTTTTGTTTATGAAAATTACAATCAAATAGAATGAATACTAATATAATTTGGTTTCCCTTACAATCCTTCCTTGGAAAAAATATTGTAATATCATATATTACCCTTTTAAAATTGCAAGGGATACTAGACTATACCTAAATCTAAAAAACTAGTATCAATGTATTTGCACAAGCTTAGAAACGATTGTGCCTCGAATATTAAATAAATGGATGAAAGAAAAGAGACCAAAACTCCAAGTTTAGCATGAGGACACTTGAGTTTTTTTCTTTCATATTTGTTAGTTATATGTTGAATACCGAAAATTTTATCACGAACTAACACTTATTATTTGTCGAGTTCAAATATGTTTCCCTACTTTTTCTATCTCATCAACCGTCTCACCCATGTTAATTTTTCATAATATCAAAATTCAAAAACATTGATCACATCATAAAATAATAAATCTAAAAAATATTTGAGTAATTAAATGAAAAATAAAAGTAGTAACACCAAAGAAAGGGAGCCCCACACCTGACGGGTGGGGGGTGTAAAATACCTCAAAAATACGGTTGGGCCAATAGGAGTGTTGATTTGAATCCTCTCAAAAAGACATGTAAAACTTTCTAATGGGATTCAAACTCCAATTTTCATTTCCAATCACTTCATGTAAAAATTGAATTAGATAAAGTTTACACAACCTGTACCACATTATTTTCAGGACTATTTAGGAAGCCACCATTCCATCACTAACCAGTAATAGGGGTTGTGTTGGTTGCTTGTTTGCCATGCTTATGCGTCAAGGACTCATATACGATCCTATCGGGTCCTTTTATAGAGCCTTCAATGCACAAGTGTCGAATCGCGACTCTATTATAATTTTTACAACTTTATCATTCAAAATTCACGAGTATATGGTATTCTGATTGAACTTCACAAGTTTATCGTAACTTATACAATTAAAATATTCGAAGCTCACAAATTCTAATGTAAAAAAGCAAAGTTATCGTATTCCTAACACAATATCGTGAATTGTTCTCCCAATACCACAAAAGTTTACCTATCAAATCTCAAGTGTGAGCAATTAGACAAATTTTTGTACACTATAAAATTTCACTACGCGCATTGTTAAACGTTTTTTTGTAACGCAAGTAATCTTTATCTTGTCGCAGAGAGGGATTAGAAAGTGATTTAAGGAAACTAAGGTTTCGTTCATTTCACTGATTCGAGTTTTTAATTTTAAATTTGCTATAGTTAAAAATTCTCATAAAAAGTCATATCTAACTTTTTCTGCTACAGTTAAAAGCTCTCACATGAAGTAACATTTCAACTCGAATTGAAAACTTAAATCGGCGAACTGAACGAGGCATAAAATCGAATTCCATGTCAAAGGACCCACTGAGTAACGACGTACTCCCAGTACATCGAGAGCACTTAAAATAAACGTGACAAATTCCTTTGCCTGGGTGAAAATTTTCAATATAAATGTCTAAACTTTTGATTAGTTCATTGTCCACTCTATGATAAATTGCAACATGTGTGCACATATATAACATGTCTTACTGAACAATTTCTTTGAAAAATATGTAATATAATGCGTACATATACACATGTATATATAAACGATGTAGTGTGGATTGTGGAACAAGAGTTACAAGACCAACTAACCGGAGCGAACTTTCTACCCGGTGCAGGCTATATACGCTTGATGAACACGAAAAAGGAACAAGTTAACAAGGAAAAAGAAGAAGATTTTGTTACATAAATTCTCTTAGTTCCTAAAAATCTCTATAGCAAATACGGAAAAGTGGGTCCAAAAATGTTTTCTGGTCACCATCTTCATTCCGATCCCCACTGAAGAAGAGGTGAGGCCAGGATGGGACTGGGTGTCATCTTAAACTCAATCTAAGGGCCCGTATACTTAAATCATGACAACGTTTAGAAATTTAATTTTTTTTTTTAGAGAAAAACATTAAAGAAAAATTAATAATTTGAGTTTGAGTATACGAGATAAACCGATCCTAAATTTCAACAAATGGAATCTAAATCTCAGCATTAATAGAGTTACAAGAAGATCTCATCAAAGCAAAACAAATCGTTTTAAGAATATATTTTTTTCCATGAAATACGTGTATCTGAACAAGGTCGATCAGGATCCCTCCCATCCCCACCCAAAAAAAACAAAAAAAAAAACAAATTCCAGCATAATAGCAAAAGGCCCTCACAAGAACCCAAGCTCAAATTAAGGTTAGTAAATGTATACTATATTGACAAAATATGCCCAGAATAGTGTAAATATAGATACATAACAAATCAAAAAGTAAAGGAAATTTTTTTTTTGATTCCTGTTATATATCCCCTCGTCATAAAGGATGTAAAGCCCTTCTAATAGTCCTTTTAAACACTCAAAACTGATTGATCTTGAGCAAGCTACGTGAAGGGCTAAGAAGCTTATAACCTCCATATTTATAACCAATACCATTGTTTGGACTGCAAAGCATGAAGCTGCAACTGGGACTAGTGCTCGTAAAATCTCCATCACCGCTCTCCATCTCCGCAAGCACTTTGTAGAACAAACCGGCGTCGCAAGGAAGCAAAATAGGGCCATCGCTGTTGTAGCCATACTCCGATTCTGCATCCTCTAGAAGGATCTTGAACAATTGATGATTAGCAAACTCTGCCCGCACCACGAACTTTTGCTTTTCTGGTCCCACATAGACCGGAAAGCAACCGTAAGGAGCTGCTTGAGTGTTAATATTACTCTTCCGCTTGTGATCGATCATGTTTGTCGTGAAGCTGCGCTTCAAGTAGTACTTGAAAGAAGTAGTTCTTGTGCTTGATGATGTTGAAGACGTACACCTCCTCCATGCCTTGGCAATCAGATTCTTCTTCATTTTCGCCTTGATAACATCCATTCTTCTTGTTAATTATGTTATTGACAATATCGACGAATGATAATAGAAAAACCGTCAAGAAAATTAGACTTTAACTAGCTGAATCATGATACTTTTGGCTATTTGGTGTTGCTCAAAAGTGATTTTTGCGTCCTCGTATAATTGTGTACATATATGTACAAGCTAAACGCCAGGAAAATAGTGTTAAATGGACCGGAAGATGAGAATGAATACTTTTGTTTATTTGTATAGAATAGATTAGTATAAAGACTAATAAATAGATAGATATAGCTATCTAACTGAAGAATATAACAAGAATTGAAGGAAATACGTGTTGATATCTGGGAAATTTGTGAGCAGGAGAGGTATAACTGTTACGTAAAGTCACACACGCCCTCGTTTGCATTAAAAAAAAAAAAAGAAGTTGCTGAGAAATAAAAGGGCGTTTGTCAACGCCCTCTTTTTTTGAACATGAATAAAACTCGTTAAAGAAATCGTGTGCAGACAAAATAAGGCCACTTCTTTGCGTCTGCCCAATAAACAGTGGACAAAGAGGATAAGGGAAAAACCAATAAAATAATACCTCTCATCAACTTGTACATGTGTTGGAGCTTTCCAATTAGTGTATTAAATATGACAATTGAGGGGAAAACATATGTTGGAGGTATGAATAATTTAAAAGAAAAGCAATGTAGGAAGGGGACCAAGGAGTGGAAGATACGTATAAAACAAGATAAGCCTTTAGCGGACAATACCAGTAGTTTATATGGAGGCCACATTTTGAGTATATGAGTGGGAGTAGGTAGTTTCATGAAGGTCAGCTTTGGAAGTTTTGTTGCTCACCATTGTGGATCGATGACCTTAACAAGTATTAAGTATGTCACAGGCCACTATCGAGTGCGGCGGCGTAACGATAATAGAATACGGCTTTGTTCATTTCGCCGATTCAAGTTTAAAATTTGAGTTTTGCTACAGTAAAAAGCTCTCAGAAACAATCACATCTAACTTTTTTACTACAGTAAAAAGCTCTCACATAAAGTCACATCTCAATTCGAATTAAAAACTCGAATCAACGAACGAACGGGCCCGTATTGGAGTACTGAGTTATTTTTTAGGAGCATCGTTCCCTCCAAACACATATCATTATTGTAAAAAATAGTATGTTATATGCCTTTTCATTATAAAAAAAAAAAAAAAACAGAGAGAAAAAAAATTAAAAATATCACTTAAGATAGTAAAAAATTTTATTTATGTCACTCTACTTAAAATTTAACAATTGGTATTGAATTAATAAGAAAAAAATAAAATGTCATTATGATATTCAATTATTTAAAATGACGTATGTCTCTAAAAAAAAATCATGACATGTATATATATATATATTTAAAAAAAAGTTTATCAAGGAAAATGAGGAAAACATCAAAGTTTTTTTTTTTTTTTCCACCATGCTGATTATAAATTATTATATTAAAAACTCAGGGTGACTAGTGTTTCCATGCAATGTACCTTGGTTCAAGCGCATCCAGTTATAATTATTTTATTGTTCATTGCACCATATTTTGCGCAAGGGCAGTTAATTATATGATGTTTCATCATTACTCTTGAGAAACGAACCAAATTAAATCATTCTTTTGAATAGGCCATAATATGTGGTTTTGAGGACTTCAAACTCAAATTGGTCTTTCATTTCTTAAATACGGACTTAATTATAGTTTCTAGTATTCCAACTTTGGCTGGCTGGAATATGCATCAGCAGTTTCTGGCTCATTAATTTGTGAAAGAAATAAGACAACAGAAAATTAAGAAACATATCTATCATGACTAATGAGATAAACCTCTTCATGTCATCTATTAATACTACAATTATTATTATAGAAAAATTAATATTTTACGTATAGTTATCTTTGTTAGTAATTTAGATTCATTCGTATCAATTTTCAGAGTTCTTTTTTTATTTAATTTTTTTTGGAAGGGAAACTAGGAAATCTCTTCATTGTAGGAGCCCATTATTGATACTTAAAAATGAATTCGCTCTGTTTGTAATATGTGTGTAAGCGTATTACGGAATCACGATAAATCTTGATTACTACTACTATTATCATTATTATTATTATTATTATTATTATTATCATCACTATTATCATCACTATCACTATCTTAAAAGTACAACTGCGCCACAAACAAATTTACAACAGTACAAAGAACGAACATAAGGGGAAAGGAAACAAACATCGCTTAGAGAGTGTGAGTCTAAATTTTTATTTTTTATTTTAATTAATATTTTTTTTGTCAAATAATTATATTAATCAAAGAGTATATTAATTAAATTTAAAGAGTAAAAATTTAGATCCATATTTTTTAAAAATAAGTTTAATAATTTTCTCTTTCAATTTTTAGCTACAAAGGCTGGCTTTCATGGCCTAATTGACTGGTTGCCATATTTTTCTTAAGAGGAAAAAAAAGACATTACCTGAACTATATAACAAGCTAAAAAAGCGACATCATGAGTCTGATAAAAAAATATTATAATGACTCGTTTAGTTCGCTGATTCAAATTTTTAATTCGAGTTGAGATGTGACTTTATGTAAGAGTTTTTTACTGTAGCAAAAAAGTTATATGTGATTGTTTCTGAAAGCTTTTTACTGTAATAAAATTTAAATTCTAAACTCAAATTGGTGAAATAAACAGACCATAAAAAACGTCAATAAACACAAAAACATCATCACGTGAAAAGCGAAAATAAACATAAAACAACATCATTTTGGGACACTGCATCCATGTCGAAAAGCTACTACTCAATTAGTCACGTGACCTCCTTTGGCATTGTTTTTGCTTATACATTTAAATAGGGGGTGTTCACGAATTAAAATCTGCAGATTAAGAGTCAATCAACAATTCAATTTAAAACTATCATATTGGAAAATTTTCAATCCGTACCTAATCCAAAACTTTTCCCAATCTCATATAAAGTCTATTAAATTTTGCATATTGGATTCAAAGATTTCACATATTAACATCTTTAAAGTTAATAGGCATATTTAAGAAACCATCCAAAGTAAAAGATAAAATGAAATCTTCATCATTTATCAATATTATTTTAAAGTTCAAAGTTAAAAAAATATCCATAATCTAAATAAACATAGCATAACATAAAACAATTTAACAAATTCTAAATTATTACAAATTAATTAATAATGACTAACTCGATTCACTAAAACTCAAAATGAATTTGAAACATAACTTCAAAAAATTATATATAAAATATATGTTTGAGATTCGTAGATTTTACGGATTGAAAAATGTTTAATCCACAATTTAATACAAAACTTTTAAAATGAGATTTTCTTAAATTGCGAGTGAGCGGATTGATTACATTCACAGATTATGTGACTCCTACATTTAGGGGGCATTCATTTGGTGGATTAAATTCGAGTTAGCCCAACTGAGATTGAGTTTTGGGTCTAGTATTACATTCAGTAACCCAAACTCGAACTCAATACTCGAATATGAATTCGAGTTATGAAACATCACCTACCCCTTGAATTTCAATTACTCGAATATGTCCGCTACAGTGCAGATTCTCTGCATAACAGCCTTTTCACAGGCGCGTATTACCGTTGCCTGTCATCCCTCCTTCCTTTCTAAAGCTCTGCTTGGCTCACGAGAAAGGAATAGCTTTCTCTTCTCTAACTACATCCCATCTGCTACAGTCGGATTCCCTGAGAAAGGTAAGTCTTCAGTCGCGGATGCAGTTCTGATTTGCTGGGCTTGTGCAAATCGAGGGTCCCTGATTTTTCCCTTCATCGTTCACCCATAAATCCCTTAAAGACTACCCTTTTTCCTGATTCTAAAACAAAGAACAAACCCTAGATCCATTCCTTTGTCTTCCCCGTCTTCTTCAATTTTCAAAACGGAGACAATTGCTCCGAAGAGAGTGAAGCGGCGTCGTCAATTGGCCGTATATCGAGTCGATGTAGTGTGAAACATCGTTTCTGAGTGCGTAGCCATCGTCCCCAGTACAAGTGCTTCCGTTGTCGTTGCTGTTGGTGAACTTCTTTAGCAGATCCGTCGTACTCGCGTTTGGGGGTTAGCAAAGTAGAACATCCGCTGTCATCTACATTATCAAACACGGTAAATACTCTCCCACTTATTACTATAAAGTTGCATATAGGGCAATCAGAATAGATGATGAGATAATACATTGTTTCCTTTGAGGTTATTTGTTCAACAGATTAAAAAAGTCTATGTGTTGGTTTGCTTGCCATTTGATTTTTGACATTATTATGAATATGTCTTGGCCTCTGATATTGGAATTGAAAGCGTTTGAAGCTTAATTTAGTCATGGAAGTGATATAGAATTATTGTGAATAGCTTAGCTTTGCACTTTTTTTCCATTAAATAAATGAAGAAAAAAATCTTCATAACAAGGATTTTTACGTTTTGGACTAAAGGAAGGTTATTCCTTTTCTGGTGGATCATTGGTGTCAGTTGCTTCTTGTAGTTTGATAGATAACAAGGATTTGTTATAAGTTGGTGAACATTTAGGATACAATCTGTTGGATAGATAACAGGAAAAACAATATTGATTCTGTTGCACTGAATATGTACAAAGAATTAGAGGGAGAGAATGAGATAGAACATACATGTGAGGTGTGAAATAATAAAACAACAAAAAGCATGTACATTACGGAAAGTTTGGGGGCAATCAATGCACATATACTTCTCAGCATCATCTAGAAATGGAAGTATTTTTGGCATTAGAGATGAGTTTGTTTTTTTGTTCAGAAATGGAAGTTTAAAAAATTGTGACATTAATTAATACATAAAAAAATCTGTTTACTAAAAAGATGACTATTGCCTCCAATCTTCTTGTTTTTATCAAAAACTGCATTAATCCTCTGCTCACTCTCGACACTGCAAGGCTATAAGCTAGAAGCTGATGAGATAACCACAACCACTTTAACAAATAAGCCTCTTTTACTTGCGACACATTTTGACAGGAAGAAAATGAACAACTTATAAATAACCTCAAGTTGTAACCTTATTAAGACATTAATTTGTAATAATGGCAATCTATATTTGCAATCAGGTCAGTTGTTTAGTCGTGGAAGTGGAAGTGATATAGA